GAAGCTTATAAGAGTGCATTGATTGTTGTTTTAACACACATAATTCAGAAATATCCTAGGTCAAATTTTGTTCTCGTTTAATTTCAGACAATTTAAACTGTAATTTAGATATTGCAAATCATTTCAACATCGTTTGGACCAGATAAAATAAATAAATAAAAGCATGCCTTGTATCGTTTGGACCAAATAAAATAAATAAATAAAAGCATGCCATGTAACGACCGACAATTGTATATATTACATACTAGATTTTGACTCACACCAAATGTGTGATTAAATATTTAAATATGTTTTCTAATCGATCTTAATATTTGGGGCAATTACAAAAATGCCACTTTTTGTGTGCACATTTGTAAGAATGCCACTTAGAGGTGTCCATTTACAAAAATGCCACTAATTATAGATTTATAAAGCCTATATTTTAAAATTCTAAACCCTAAAAAATATTTTGACACCTAAAACCCGCTAAACACTCAAAACTAAACCCTAATAGAACATAATTAACCCAAACATAAATAATATAAAGAAAAAATAATTTTGAAAAAATGGCAATTTTGTAAAAATTTCAAAAGTGTGGCATTTTTGTATAATGACACTTAAAAAGTGGAATTTTTGGAAATTTCTCTTAATATTTAGACGTGTATTATAATATTTACAAACGTACAAAATGATATAAATTGTGCATAAATGTAATAAAATTAAATTTTGACCAAACATATTTTAATGTCATATGTTTTGATCAATTTTGCATAARAATWWTWAAARYWAWKKMAAWKWTWTTTATTTCAATTTATTTGAAGTGTAAAATTAATTTTTATTATTTGTGTAAATTATAGAATATGCGATAAATCAAATAAATTTGTCAGTGTAACAAACAAAAAATATATGTTTTTATATTAAAAAACATGAATTTTTATTTTTGAATATTCGAATCTCGTGTTTAACGCATTTAAAAAAATCTAGTAGTCATTGAAAAGAAAGTAAGATGTTCTCACATATACTTTATATTTTTTAAATAAAATCTTCTATATTAATTACCACATATTATTTGCTTCCATATTTATTTAATAATTATATATTGTATATGTGATATAAATTTAGTGGGTAATTGGGCTAAAATATAGTTAGACTCTTCTAATTATTTACATAATAGTTCTCATTAAAAATGTTTTAATAGTTTTAGCTTCTTGAAACCCTCTTTATATGACATTTAGGATTTTTACCTAGTGTCTCCTCTATTAATATATAGAGAATTTTCTATAAAAAAAAAAAAAAACAATTGTATTACATAGAGAGTGTGAAAAGAATTAAATACGAACTTTAAATAAAAAACACTCCATGTCGACAAAAACTGCACGTTATGCTCCAAACTCCAAAACACAAATATTAATTAATTAGTTAATCTTGCTAAGCACAAAATTAAGAAAGTCTTAAATTAAACTTATCCCTATCGCTACGCATTGACAGTATTGTCTCCTCGTAGCTTCTTCTATAGTTCTATTTGAATTTGAAAGCTG